AGAAAGATAAACATCTCTCCGGCAGCTAAGCTAGGAGGCCTTAGGACTGATGTAGAAATCACAACAAGCAAAATCGACTTTACTATTACTCACAAAACAGATAAATTTTGCCAAACCAGTCATGAACACTACCTAACTTAAGCCCAAAATATTTTAACACCAGCTTCTTCATCCCATAAGTCCTGGGTGAAAATCACAGACAAGTGAATCGAACAGTAACTCCGCGAGGATTCACAAGTTCTACTGTCTGTTGCAGCAACTCTCCTAGTTTACAAATTCTGACCAATACCTGCCAGGACCCTCATAGGACTCACTTAAGCCCCCTCAATACCTCTCCCTGACTCCCGCCCTCCTCCCTCCACCAGCCTTTCCCCTGGCTCCCAGCTCCCTTTGATGAGCCCCTTTGTTCTGCTGTGGTTCTCCTTTTGGGGAGGAAGTGAATCAACATAGCTTTAGTTTTAGGAGTGTTTTTGCAGGTTTTTGGCTCTCAGATTTTCACACCTAGAAAGAGGTTAGAGAGAAGCGGGTTGAGAGTAGGAGTTGAGTTGGGTGCCTGCAGGTGTTTGCCACAAGGCACCAACAAAGTAAGGGTGCTAGAAGTGCATAAAAGATGGTAATCATGCAAGGAGAAACAATGAAGTTTTATCTGCTGGATATTTTACTGTTTTCAGAGAATATTCTAGGAACTGAGGGTTTGATGAAGGTCTCCCTCTCTAGGAGCAGGGAATCTCTCGAAGGGTAAAGCTACAGGCTTCTGATGTTGGAAGGGGCATCCTGTCCCCTGTTTACCTTCTCCCCTTCCTGTTCTATGGCTGTTTATGAAATACAGCTAAAGAAACCAGAAGACTTCAATAGGAAAACATGGCGATCTTGTCAGACACAACATCTTTTTGTGTAATCTGCAGATATCTGCTTGTTACAGCCATATACCCAACTGCTTTCTTGACATTTCCACTTTGGTGTCCAATAGACCTTCCAACTCATGCCCAACACTGAACGCCTGAATTTTTTCCTCAGCCCCCTGACCAATCTTCTCTACCACGAGGCTTCTCATCTGAGGAGATGGTGACTCTTTCCTTCCAATTGCTTTTTCCAAATCATTTGGGTTTATCTTTATTTCCTCTCTTCTTCCCACACCCCATATCTAATCCATCAAAAATTCCTATTGACTCTACCCGCTATATACACTCAGAACTGACCACATCTCACTACCTCTCGTGCTAGTACCCCATCTTAGGCCACCAGCACCCCTCACCTGGATTACTATAATAGTCTCCCTGTTTCCACATTTCCTCCTCCCACAGCCAGAGGTATCCTTTGAAAATGGAAGCTAGATCATGTCATTGCTGTACTCAGAAACCAGCAACGGCTCCCGAGTTCCCTCAGAATAAAAGCCAAAACCTTACAATAACCTGCAGGTCTCCAGAACTGGCCTCCTCTCCCGTGACTCTGCTCCTGTCTTTCCAAACTTGCCTCCCTGGCCTCTTGCTGATCCTAGATCATGCCAGGCAGCCTTGTTGCATTGCCTATTCTCTCTGCCTATAACGTTCTTTCCTAAAATTAGCCAAATTTTATTATCTCTTTCAGGTCTTGAACTAATATTATCTTTTCAATGAGGATAACTCTGACCAATCTATTTGAACTGCACCCAACACCTCAATCTCCTGGAATGCCAGTCTTGCTTAATTTGCTCCACTTTTTTCTTTTTATTCATAGCACTTACTCCTTCTAACTTACTATAATATTTACTCATTTATTACATCTGTCCTTCCTCCCCATCCCCCAGAAAGTGAGCTTCAGAAGTGCAAGAATCTGCCTGGTTGTTCAGTGATTTATCCTAAGTGCCTAGAAAAGAGCCTGGCACTATAAATGCGCTCAGAAAATACTATTGAATGAATAATTCTGTAGCTTGGCATGCTCGCTCTTTCCTTGAGTCAGGGCTGTGTCCAAAAAAAAAAAAAACAAGCCACATGTAAGTCCACACAAAAAGAAAGAAAAATAGGTTCAAATCATAGGGTATTCTAGTGTGACACACAGCAAAACTCCTTTCGAATCATCTTCCCCAAACTATTTCCCTAAGTTCTACTCATCAAATCATTGCAGCTGCTCCTCTTATCTCCAAACATTTTATCAAAATCACGCCTGTGGGAGCTTTTCTATTTTTTTTACCCTATGTTCTCATTTATCTTTTTTTTTTTTTTTTTTTCAAAAATAGCTCTCAAACCAATCAGGCTGAAATTGGAAAGGAGAAAAGTAAGATAGAGCCAGTGTCGGCTTACTTTTGGAGGTTTTATGTAGTTTCAAAATAAAATGATAGTGATCAGGCAGTTGCAAAGCTTTATTAGTGAGGGGAAAAAATTAAACCAGAGATGGGCTAGGGATATCTGGTGGGTCATGACTATGTGAGGACAGGCTAGAACCACTGGTACTCTCAGATGGAAGGACAGATAGGGTGAAACCATCAGTGTGTTCCTCAATGGTCTGAATAAGGTGAAAACAGTCTTGTATCACACATACAGAAATACAACACTTCACAGACTGAGATTTTGAACTGGGAACATTTTAGGTAAGTAAAGGAATCTGCTATTTCATGCCTTGGTAGTTAATGTACAGAAGCCTTTGTCCTCAAAAACATAGGACAAGCAGAAAATGGATTCCATAATGGACTTAGAAAGTTTGTGGAGACATATCAGAGGTAACTACCTCCCCATGGCTAGTCTTCCGGGTTACCATCCTAGAGGATAAGTAAGCGCATTGCTTGTTCTGTCAGCTACAGGACACTTGGCAACATGAACAATGGGACTGACCCATTTTGGCAAAAATATATTTTGTATACTGCTGTCTCTGCCAAAAATTAAAACTCTATCTTCTCTGTGTTGTTCTCCTCACCAGGAGCGCCATCTTCCACTCTCTTCATTTTCCAAAATCTCATTCATTGCTTTGGGGTCAGTTTAACTCCTACTCTCTCCACGAGAGTAAAACATTAAAATCTCAACACCTCACCTGTACTTCTTGGGTAGCAAACACTTTAAACATAATTCACAGGAAACATGTTGTATGAAGTGAAACAGCAACATTGTCATAAAATCCAGCCTGTTTACAAAAGCTGAATGAGCTAACTTGGGTATCATCGACAGAAATCATTGTATCATTGAAGCTACTGACATGGAAAATGGATGAGGTACTAAGGTATCTCAATATACTGTATAACTATTACCAAGATAGAAAATCTTCCTGTACGGAGAACAATCATTGAAATTTATACATAAACATCCAATATCAAAACACATGACTTTAAAGCGCCCCTCTCTTAGTTTTTCTGATTATTGCTAACACTTGCTTTAGGCAGAAATAATAGCTATTACATTACTGATGGTTCAAAAATTAGGAGTATATTTCTATTAAAATTGTTTAATGTTCTGTTTAAATATAAACAGTTTAGACTATCAAGACAAGTATTTGCATATATGTCGTAGAAATAAGCAATACGCTGTGTCATCAAGTCTTATTTTAAACAGAGTAAGGCTTAAAAAAGTTACATTCTATAGCCAGCATTAACTATAATTTGCTATTCACATGAATATTATTTTATTAAGATTTTATGGAAGTAAAGTTACTGCATTACAGATAATTTTATATACTTTTAAGATTCATTATATGTCTTAGAATGACTTCCCCAAGGGCCACCTCTTAAATGAGATTATTAGAAACTTAAGCCCTATATTATGTTGGGGGCAGATTGGAACTTACAGAAATTTTATCTTCCAAAATATAAAATTAATGAAATTATTCTTCAGAATTAGATAGCCTTCTCATAAAAGAGTCAAAAATAGTTTAGAAAATCACCAAAGTTCAACAGATTAAATTCAACTCCTTGTTAGATGTAATTTGTTTATGAACAAAACATTTCAAAATGAAATTTTTTCATGTTAGAATAAAAGGTAGTTTTTAGAAGCATATTAAGATAGTATATGTAATTGTCATAACATTTCATATGAAAGTTGTATCTTTCCACTGTGTGAGAAGTCAACTAAGTTTTTATAAAAAGCTCCTGCCTGGATTTGCAAAAACTAATAAAGATTAGATTTTGCAATATTTCAGTATGTGTATTTTGTAAGCAGACTCTATCACATTAAATATTCAGCTTCAGTAAATCTCCATACTACCTGACAACATTTTTAATGTTTCTTTTCTTTCAGGAAGGGGTTTAGAGGGGACAAAACACTGAGGCTGAGTCGTGACCAAGATAAGGAGAGAAGGGGCATTTCTGCTTGTGGGCCTAGGAAGCAAAACTAAAAGTAAACTGAGCTCCTTTATAACTCAGCTGTTAACTTGCAAAACTACTTGCATAACGCTCACATAAACTGAGGGACTAAGGGGACATCACAGATGGTTCTATCATATGCATCCACGTCCTGATTGCAACGTCACTGCTGACACCACAAATATGCTATCGTTGTTGTTAGTGCTGTGTAGGTGATTTTGACTGGTAGCGCCCCCGTGGACAGCAGAGAGGAAGCTTGCTGGGTCTTCTGCAGCATCCTCTCACCTCTGCGCCACTCCGGCGCTACATCAGACGATGCTCCCCTGCTAGTCATAGGCTTTTCACGGCCAACTTTTTCAGAATTGAAAGGCCAGATTCTTCCTTGTCTGCTCAGCTAAAACCTGTCCACCAGAGGTGACCCCACTGGTGGTTGAAATACGGGTGGCATAGCTTTCAGCATCACAGAAACATGCACGCACCACAGTATGACAACCAACAGAGGGGTGGTATGGTTCTCTGACTGGAAATGAACCAGGGTTGCAGCCGTGAGAGCGTGGATCTTAACCACTAGCCCACCGGGGCTGGCTACCACAGGCATGGAGAATGGCTCCTCCCACCTTGCCTCTTATGAGGGGTGGTTTGTGTGTGTGTTTGTGTGTGTGTGTGTTTCACCCACAACAAAAACACGAATTTAGAAAATTTGGGCAATTTGAGGTAGGATGAAAAGACTATTTACCTGTCTATGATGGCACACATGTCAATGCTGACATTTGCAAAACTTCCTGGCCTCCTTTGTGCCACTTCGTATAAATTTACAAGTTGATCATCCACTTGAATGAGCTGCATGCATCCTTGGAATGAAGGCTGAAGGACAGAGTGACTTGAGTTATTCATCTGGTTCAGAAAACCTGTGAGAGAGAAGAAATGAGAGCGTTAAATTCTGTGTGCAGCATGCTTCACTCAAATCCCTCTGGGTATTTTCCCTGACCACAAACATCGTATTTGACTACTGTGTTTTGTTGCTTTTTGCTGATGTTGTAGTCAATGTAGAAGAATGAAGTCTTTTGAGAAAGTGATATTATCTGAGGGGAAGAAAGTTGAACCTGGGTGAATGTTTGTCTCTGGAGTCTACCGTCTCATATTTTCTCCTTTGACATCTTCTTTCTCACTGTCACATCTCTCTGTCCCTCTGCTGTCGAAGGCTCGCTGCTCCGTTGCCTCACCTGACCCTGTCCTCAAAGATCAGGACAGAAAACTTGAGACCTTTCCCAGCTAGCCAACTGCCTTCCTTTTATACCTTCAGTATTTACTTCTATTTTCTCATTCCCAAGAGGCCTATTATCAGACGTCAAGAAGGTAAACTTCCTGCCATCAGTTAAGGTGGACTGCTTTTATGGATTAATGTCTAACTCAACCCAAAGAGATATTTGCATTACAAATAATTTCTCAATTTATAAAATACAAAGAAACATTATAAAGAGATAAATTTAGGCATAAGAGTCAGCCATCCTGCTGTGAATACCTATCTTACGTAAGGGCCTAATATGGTACAGGAAGCATAAATGATAAGAAATGAAATTAAAATTAAAAGAGTATGAGTAACCAGATAAAAAAGGAGAGTGTATACTAGTGGTTGTATTAGGGAACAGAGCATACATATACCAATTTCGAAATGAGACATTAAAAATTTTATTGCAAAATAACTTTAAAATAGCACTACCAATCAATTACCATTATGCCTTTTCAACAGAAATAATTCTCCTTATGCATAGAAAATAATATTTCTTGATCCCATTAAGTATCTCCAGAAGGTCCCCCAAAGCATCTATTTTTCATATCGTTACCCACACCGAATTCACCTACCAGAGTAAATTTAAACTGTACTAATATTTCTGTTTAAAAATCTGAAGTTATTCACAGATTCATTTCAATCTAATATTATATCTATAGCAAAAAACAGTTGCTATAGAATGGGCTAGGACCAAGGTGTGCCATTAATTAGAAAAAAGTGAACTTTTAATACACACTTTAAAAAAAAATTAATCATTAAATCATCTTTAAAACTCCATTTTCTGTTTGACTAGTAATAGTAGTTTAGGACAATAGAAACCTTCTTTCTCCATTTATTAATGGGTTACAATATTTAAAGCTTAATAATTACCATTTGAATCCCTTATAAGGGTTAATTACAGAGGTGTATATCATTTTCCATCAACATAGTACTACGTAAAAATAGAATTATAGTTAATTTCTTGACTTAAAAAAAAATAAGGCTCTATTTCAATGTCAAACATATAGCTTACATATATATATATATTTTTTTTTTTTTTCTAAGTCACTTTTTTTTTCATTTGCATTGACTTGGTCCCTTCAGAAAATTGGTGATCTTAGATGAGTGGTCTATTTAGACTAGTTGTATGCATACATATGATTTTCAATCTGTTTAGTCAAGATAAAATTGAATGGAGTTTAATGTCTAAACTTAGCAGAGGGAAAACAGCCAGCTGTGACTTTAGTGACTGTCCTTAACAAGGCAATCATTTAGTTCTGCTTTTTAAATACTTGAAAGTCTCTAAATATCGACACTAGCTTTGAAATGTTCCAAAATGAGTAGACGCGTTTGTGAGAACAAGACCTTCTCTGAAGCAAGACAGCTGCATAACACAGATCACTAAGGACTGGGTATAATTAAGTTCATAAAACAAGACTTCATCAGTCACTCATAACAATGTCTTGTTTGGCCCTGATGAATTTTGGAGTTTGAAATTGTCAAGTCTTTTCATTTTTCTACATGGCATATATTCTAGGAGAAGATAATTGTAGGGCAAACTACTATATCCATTGAAAATCTAGAGATTTTTTCCTCTCCTTGCATTATCTTTAACATTTTCAAGAGGGGCCCCATTAATCCTTGCCTCTGGGTGTTCACACCCGTTTGTAGTCCCCTTCCACACTGAATTAGGGGTGACCTTTGTGGTCCATAGGAAACAGAGGAAGTGGTGGCAGTGTGTGACTTCCGAGGCCAGTATTCTGCTTGGTCTCGGAGATTGCTAACTCTGAGGAGTCAGCCATAATGCCCTGAAAAATCAGGTGGAGAGGCCCATGAGAGTTAATAAACCATGGTTTTAAGCTATTAAATTTTGGGGTGATTTGTTATGTAATAATAAGTAAGTAATAAAGAATTTGGTACTGGGAGAGAATTGTAACAAAAATCTAAAAATGTTTCAGTGAGTTATGCACCGGGATGTCCATGTAAGATGGATGGGCTTTAAAAGAACTGTTAGCAGAATCTGATGGCTCTTGAGGAGGTTGTCAGTAACGACTTAAAGGAAAGTAAGGAAAAATATTATCGGAAATGGGAGAAAACTGTATCCTTGCTACGTTGCAATGGGAAGTTTAGCAACACTGTTTTCTGTGATAATATAGAAAGAAAAATGTCGTACTTAATAAATTATATAATCTAGCTAAAGAGATTTCCAGGCAGAGTATTGAAGGTGCTGGCTGGCATCTTCTTTCTGTTTCTAGTACAGAGAAAAGAAGAGAGAAAAGCTAAAGAAAAATTGCTAAATATGAAGAAGCCAGGATTTGAAAATAAAATGTTTTCTCAATTCCCATCTCTCCAGATGGAAAGAATGCAAAAGTTAAGAACTCACTTCCAGGCAAAGATCAACTACCAGTAAAACATAATCTAAAGATGACGGTGAAGTGTGACTGTCAAATCCATGTTAGGACATGGATTCCAAAATTTATTAGCTGTGTCTCAAAGAACCATTCAGTCAGACAAAAGAACCCTAGGCAACCTATTGGTGTCTTACAGATCCTCTGAGTCAAACAATAGGGGTTTTAATAAGCTTAAGGGCAGTTTTTCCTTAGTGTGTCGGCAGAAGCCTAATGTCAAGAGTTTATCTTTATGAGATTGTGGATGTGGCTTTTGTTTGATAGAGTAAATCTGACTAACATTTATAGGAAGCCCACAACTTTTTAAGAGAACTGTACTAGTGGTATCACCACCAGCTTGGACTGAAAGGGACAGAGATGATAGAAAATGAAAGAGGTCTTTAGACCCTAAACTTTCACAGGCAGAAAAATACACAGCTGTATACACAGGCTACCTTTTATAAAAAAGAGAAGTATGCATCAGAGTGGTAGAACTGAGAACCCAGAGGGCAAAGCCTTGAGCAATGGAGAATCATTTCTAAAAAATAGTAGAACTGAATCCTAATAAAGGTATTTCCAACATGTACCTGACTTATTTTAGAACTGCTATGGACCAGTTACTTCTGTGTGCCTTTTATTTTTCCCCTTTTGAACCAGAGAGTCAAAAGTGGTACTTTATGCCTATCCTAGCATTGTATGTTGGGTGTGTGGGTGGCATAAAGCTTGTTCACAGGTCTTTAGATGAGAAGCTATATTTGAGTAGCTGTACCCAAATGGCTTCCTTTGCTCTTGGACTTCCCCAGGAGCTTCATTTTGGTATGAACTTGGCTTAGATGAGGAGTTACTGGATTTTAGGCAAATGCTCTAATGGGATGAAACTTTGGAGGGCCTTTGGGAGGAGATAAGCGTAATTTCATGTGGAAGAGACATGGATCTTTGTGTCGCAGAAGATGAACTCTGATGTCCAACCTCCAAGATAGCCATGAATCTTTGCTTCCTATTATTCATACTCCCATGTAGTCCCCTCCCACACTGAATCAGTGCTGACCTGTGTGACAAACAGAACACTGCAGAAGTGACAGTGTGCATGTGACTTCCAAAGCTTAGTAATAAAAGGCATTAGAGGCTTTACCTTGCTCTCTTGGATCTCTTGCTATGGGGAAGCCAGTCCCTGTGTCATAAGGAACCTCAAGTAGTCTGGTGGAAAGGCACCCACGTGGAGAGGAATTAAGGCTACCACTAACAGCCAGCAGCAACTTGCTAGCCATGTCAGTAAGCCATCTTGGAGTGACGCCTCCAATCCTAGTCAAGCCTTCAGATGATTGAGGCCCCAAGAAACACATTAACTGTGACCTTATAAGAAACTTCAAGCCAGAACTTCCCAGCCATGTTGCTCCTAAATTACTGGCCCACAGAAGAGGAAGAGATAATATATTAATACTCTGTGGAGCCACTAAATTTTGAGGTAGTTCGCTTGCAGCAATAGATTAATTCAGATTATAACTAACAAATCCTGCTGTCACTTTCTCAAATAGTTTTTAAAATTTGGAAGGCAAAGATTAACAAGAAAATTAGCCTGCAAAGCAGAGTAACTGGTAGAATGTTGACCATTCCCTTGGTTAGCAATAGGTTAAAGGTGTTTGGTCTCTGATACTGAAATTTCTGGTGCTCTAGCTCCCTTTGAAATGGAGGCAAACATATTATTTATTTTCTGCATTTTTTCTCTTTATGTACAAATATAATATCAATAAAAATACTGGTGTATTAGTGCCTGTGATGCTTTCAGTGATTACTCTAAAGCTCAGGAATTAACCTACTTAATAGATTAATAGCAGGGTCATTTGGAGATCTAAATTCCAGCTGGAATTTTCAGGGTCAGAAATGAATAGATATAAAATGGATAGAGAGTTAATCTTAATTAAAATTTGCCAGGTTAGTAGAAAGATTATATAGAATAGAGAGGAAAATTCTTGTTTGTTTTGGCTTAGAGCTTTAGATTTATTATATCTATGAATTTGGAATAAAAAAGTGTAATATTTACACTTGGGTCCTTGTTACTGGGTTCTGCAATCCGAGAATGTGTCCTAACACCCGCAGTGAATTGCAATCCTGTCAGTCTCAATTGCATCTCACTATCAGTAAGCTGGGAAACTTTCCCCTTTACAGGGTCATTATAATTATGTTACCTAACTGGCATGTTTGAGATTTCTGTTTCAAGACTTAGTACATAAAAACTTCATACTTGATTTGA